TGCTACATAGCTATGTACCCTGTTTTAGGATATAATTGGATTTTTAGTCTTGTTTTATTATGGTTCTAAGAGGAGTTCTGTGAAAACATTTTGCATTTAATAAATATGACTCAGAAGCCATAGAGCCATCACTCCTTCCAGCAAGTCTTCCAAACTCAAAACAGATCAGATGGCAGAGAGACAGTGAAGTACAATTGGTTATTATTGCATAGCCATGGCAACATCTCAGCATGCTTTGCTATAATTCCAGATGGGAGAAAGGGAAACAGCATATGGGGGTATTCATATTACAGCTAAAGCTTTGTTGCTTAATAAAAGGAGTGAATCAAGACTAGAGTAACCTTTCAGCTAGTTTGGTTTTTGCAGATGAAAATACAGATGAGCAAAGCTTATTTATGCACTTGTCAGAGGGTAAATCTCATTTAGCTCCATGTGGCTTTCTTAGTAGACACATAAAAATTGTATTGCATGTGAATACGTGTATATTTCTGTACATAGTCTTTCAATGAATGCCATTTTCCTTTGTTAAAACAGATTTCCTAATTTTAAGCTCATCTCACTCAGATTCAAAGTTCTCAGTGTGAAGCCCAACTGCACTGAGATGGTTTAATCATAGGATTCCTTAAAAGTTTTAAACTTAGTAATCAGAAAGCTGGATTTATGGCAACTTTATGAACTGAATGAATACTCACTTCTTCCTGGGGTGTTATAAAATGGCATCCTGCCATTATCTTGGACAACACAACTGTACAATTGTGGGCTCACTTACCGGAAAACAAGGGTTAATGGTATTAGGGTTAGATTACATTTAGGAATAGCATCACTGTAGGATTTGTAAAAGACCCTGAGAGACTGTCATTTGATTAAATGACTTTCTTGGGAGAAGTTGCAAAGACTTCCAGATCCTTCAAAGGTGAAAGGTTGTAAAATCATGAGGCATGGGAGACACTCCTTGGGACTTATGGAGAGGTAGGGGATCCAAGGTCTACCTCGCCATCCTTTGGAAAGCATGGTCCTGCTTTTCTCAAGAATACCTGACAATCCAGATTTTCAGCTGCATCATGAGTAGAACAGGGAAACACATACCTTTTTCATGTTAGGGCATATGGGTTTGTTTGGGGGTTATTTTGGATCCTTGGCTGAATATGATTTAAGATTGTTTAGTAATTTTGGGAGCCAGAATAGTGTAGTGGTTTGAGTGTTGGACCATGACTCTGGGGACCAAGGCTTGATTCCAAACTAGGCCATGAAACCCACTGGGTGACCTTGGGCAAATGATATGCTTTCAGCCTCAGGGGAAGAATATGGCAAACCTCTTCTGAAAAAATCTTCCCAAGAAAATCCCATGATAGGTTTGCCTTAGGGTTGCCATAAGTCAGGATAAGGAACAACTTTAAGGCAAACAATTACAGCAACAACAGTAATTTTGTAACTTCCCATGTTATGCTTGAAGGAAGGAGATTTCATGAGCATGATGCCTTTGCTGGTGTAAACCTTGCTTGCTTACAAAAAAAAAAAAAGCTTTCCAAAAAAAGATCATCTTCCCAAATCTCTCACATGAACCTGCACTCTGTATGTATATACAGAAGTTTTCCTATCTCATAGGAGGGGGAGTAGAAGTGTGCAAAATCAGAAATACATAGAAAAAGGGACAAAATTAATTCCTCAGTGACTTCCATTAAAGAGGAGATCCTGATGGGGGTGGTGGCAGCTGTTCAAGGTTTAGTAGAATGTGCAGTCCCCCTCCCCTACTCAAGGATAGGAGACAGAGAACAGACCCCTAACAGATATCAATAAAGTTTTCCTTGTGTGTGCAGCCCACACCCTGCTTTCATCTCTTCACAACATGCCTGGATGAAATGCAGAAGTATCCAATCAACCATTGTTTCTCATTTTGTCCTAACTTCCCATCAAAATTGGAAACCATAGGGAGCAACTATACAGAGTCAATGGCTGCTTGCTTCTCCTCCAACCAAGTCATTGTCTCATTTTCTCTCATCAGAAGCTCTGCACCTATAGACCTTGGGCACAGGCAGCCCATGGTCCAAAATGCACAAAAAACATACAAGCAAACCTCCAAATAGCTCAGCCAAACAACCAGCCTTAACCCAATAGACACAAGCTTATTTTAGGAAAATACCCCATGTCTTAAAATCCTGGCTTACCTCTCCCAAATCCTGGCTTCCCCCCCCCCTCAAAACCACCATCAGCCCAAGTTCAGATCGACACACTTAACTCACTTTGCAGCCATTTTTCAAAAGTTGGAAGTTTCCGATTTTAGAAAAATGGCCCCCAGAATGAGTTAAGGGAGCCACGTTGGAGCCTGGCTGTACTCAAATGGCAGGGGTTTTTTGGGGGGTGGGGGACCAAGCAATAGGACCTGGCTCTAGCCCAAATTAGTTTTGAATTCAGGAGACATAAACCAGGATTTAAAAATGTGCGATAATCTCCTTATTCTGTCTTCTTCCACCAGTTCCACACAAAACACCCATTGTGCTTTTTCTGTTGGCCTAGCTGCTGTTCACCTTAGTTATCTCAAGGATGGTTACTTTATTGCACTCTGTGTGAGACTGTCTTTGAAGGCTGTCCAAAATCTTCAAGGCATAGTGTACATTAGTTAATCAGAGCCAGTTAATTCAAAAAGGTAACTGTGCACTTCTGTCATCTTCACTGACTTTTCAGATCCAATTCAAAGTGCTAATCTGCAAGATTAAACACAACAATCATGAGTCCTAAATGCAATGGTGTAGTGATGCCAAGACTTGGAACAGTGCATTTTAGTGCTGAGATTTATGGATTAGCAGGAATAATCTGCCTCCCCTTAGGTTCCCGTGTGTCATGATAACATAGCTGCTATGATTGTGAAGGGGATGTTATTCCTCAGTAATAATATATTTGAAGTGACCAGGTATTAAATGGGCAATGAATATGCATTAGTTTTACAAAATATCTGTTCCTAATTGAGATGCTGGAGGAGAAGAGATAAATATTGGAAGAGAGTTTTATAGATGCCAAAAACTTTCAGAAAGACAAATAAATGAACAAAAGCCTGAACTCTCACTAAAAGACAATATGATTAAAGTGAGGCGATCATTTGGACATATCATGAGAAGACATGACTCACTGGAAAAGGCAATAATGCTGAGAAAAGCTGAATGCTGTGTGAAGAGAGGAAGATCTCATTTCAGGTGGATTCAGTCAAGAAAAGAAAGCATGGCCCTGAGTTTGCAAGTCCTGAGCAGGGCCACTGATAACAACAACTCTTGCAGATCTCTTGTTTGTACTGTCACCATGAGTTGAAACCAACTTCATGGTATATAACCTCAAAAACAATGAGATATGGGGGGAAATAGTTATAATTGGTTTTTAGGATCACCCAAAGAAAATTGTAAATAACTCTGACCCAGTACGGAAAATGTAATTGGTGTAGAGGGAGATGAAGATAGATGAGGACACCTGAAGGAAGTAAACACTGAAAAAGATGAACGTTATATATGTGGTAATAATAAATCCAATATAAATGGAACATGGAATAGCAAGATTAGGATTTTGTAATTTAAGATAGGCCAAAGCGAGGAAACCTCTCTTTAGCTAGAAATTGAAAAGAAGGCCGAATAAAGTACAAGGAGCTAACCAGTATTAGTAAGAAGGAAGTTTAGAATGAAAGGATCAGAATGAAAGTAGAGCAGAATGATTATGAGTTTGGTTGGAGATGGGTGGAATGGAAAGACATGTTGAATAGAAGGTTTAATGCAGACGTGTTGAATAGAAGGTTTAAGAAAGGATGGAGAAAAAGGAGAGATGAACGGAAAGATATAGGAGAGTTAAATAAGTTAAATAAGTTGAGGGAAAGGTAGTAGAGTGGTTACTTTAGTAAGAGAATATAAAGAATAAGGAAAGTATAGAAGGAGTAAGAAAGAAAGAGAATGGAAGATTCAATGAAGCTGGATAGATAATTTGGATATTTATGTATTTTATGAATAAGGAATTTATAAGTCATTTTCTTAGATAATGTAAGTAGGTGTTAGCTAACGTGATAAATATGTTTGTTATCTGTAGGAATGAATATGTATTGTATTGTATGTTTGTATTGATTTATGTGAATGTTTTAAGGTTTTTGTCTTTGTTTTTATATATAATAAAATATTTAATTAAAAAAAAACAAAGGAAGTTGCTGCAAGAACTGGTCTGTTGCTAGAGATCAGTTCTGCCCCCTCCTCATGGGTGTAGTTAAAGGAACTGTCATGGATATCACCACTGTCTACATGGTTTTGACCCTAATACTCACAGGGCATTCTTCTACCAGGAATGTCCTTGCTTCCTTTGAAGTCATCTGGAGTTGTTCAGTCCTGCCCATGCTGTAAACCCATTTGGCAGGAATCTGCAATAGGTTTCCTATGCTGTGATATTTAGACTCTAGAATGTTTGGCCCTGGAAGAACTGTTTGGCTGCCTCGCATTTCAAGCCATTGGAGACCATTCCAAACACATTTGAATATGGGTTTCTCTTAGCAGGCCTTTGACCTAAACTGAGATTGCTGACTGTACTCTCTATTTTTGTTCATTTGTTGGGTGATATTACTGTGTGGTTTTTTGTAATGCCTTTTATTCACTTTTATCCAACTTATATTTATTTCAGTTCCATAAAGAACATACCAATCCTACTGATAATTGATGTGTCTTGATTACCTTGAAAACTTCATACTGACAAAGAAAGACAGGTTATAAATATTTCTTTCTTTCTTTGTTTTATACTCCATCTTTCCACTAAAATAAAATAAAATAAGTCAAAATAAAATTAAAAAATTATCAAATAAAAATACAAAACTAAAACAGAGAACAAAAGCTTAATTAACATATGAAATGAATTAAAATAAATAAATAAAATACTTCCATTTGTTTAAAAAATTGAAATACTTGAACGAATATATTGCAATAAAACTTGCACAACTCATTGTACTGCAGAATTAGATGATTATTATTCTGTAAACTAGCTTAAAGAGCTACGTGGTGTAGTGTTTTGAACGCTGGACTATGACTCTGGAAACCAGGGTTTGAAACCCTGCTTAGCCAGAGTATGACAGCTTCAACTTAAACATCATGTCTTCTAGGGAGGATTCAGGCTTGTTTTGCTCTAGGACTCATTTATTTGTCTTTTTAGTGGGCCACAGTATCCATAGAACTCTTCTCCAGCACCACATTTCAAATGAGTTGATTTTCTTACTGTCAGCTTTCTTCATTGTCCAACTTTCACAACCATAAACAGAAATTAAAAATATGATGGAATGGACAATCCCAACTTTAATATTCAATTATATATCTTTACACTTTAACAATTTAAGATATGCAGATGACACCATAGTACTAGTAGAAAATAGCAAAGAGTTGGAACAATTACTGAAGAAAAGAAGAAAGTGTGATGGCAAGCTTACTTATTAACATTAAGAAAACAAAAATAATAACCACAGATGATTTATATAACTTTAAAGTAGATGAGGAAGACATTGAAATAGTTAAAGAATTTCCATACCTTGGTTAACCAGAATGGAGACTGCAGTTGAGAAATTAGAAGAAGACAAAGGGCAGCTATGAAGGACTGATACAAAATCCTGAAGCGTATATAGGTGCCATTAAGAGGCATTAACAAAAATCAGAAGTCCCCTTCCCCTGCTATAGTATAATGTCCATCACCACAATTCACCATCCCCCCTACTGCTCTCTTACTTCTTGGGATTCTTAGTGACTTTCAGATCTCCCACAGATGTACACACACATGCACAAAGTCCAAGATCCAACTATGTACTTCTGCTGGATCTCACTGCTTTTACATGAATCATCTATTCCCTTCTTCTGTCTGCAAATCCCTGTTCACCGTAAAACCTGTTCAAGAGATTTTTGGACTGTTTTTTTTTTGGCACCATAGGAGTTACAATAGGAAAAATAGGAAAGAAAGTCCTTATTTCACGTGTTGTGCATACAGAAGTATACCACTGGATCTTGGCCATAACTTTTTTTTTAAAAGCTCCTAAATTAGGTTTTGATACATTAAACCTGAAATGTTAAGTATATGTAGATGGTTACTGGGGATCATCTCTATGTTATGTCCCATTTTGACAGGTTTAACAAACATTCCAGTGTTATCTTCAGAATATCCTGATTTCTTTTGTCCCAGAAGGCCTAGATCCATTTGGAACCCAGCACTTAGCCATTGTGTTAGTCACAGACAAAAATGTTCTGTTCCTGTTAGCTGTCCAAATGCTAATTCCCTGTCCTTGGGGATAGGCAATAAATATGACACTTGAAGGCTTGGAGAAAGTTCAGCTTTGCTCCATAATATAGGAGGTGTACTGTGTGCTTCAATCTATGCAGAATGAATGTTCATACCAGTATGCTTTGAAGCTAGAGAGAGTATGCAATTTCTTTTTAAAGCATGACCTTCAGAAATGTAAATATACTGGAAATGATAGTGCAAAGACCTTGGCAAAGATGATGCTGGGCAAGTTTTAGTCCTCAATGAACTGCATACATAGTCATTTTTATTAGCAAAAAGAGACTTTTGGAGGCTCCAGTTCCAAAGAGTATAATAATATCTCTCCTCCCTTATTTTTCCTTTTAACTGCAATATCTTACAACAGCAACTAAATCTGCCTTAGGCATATAGTGCGAAATGTTTGGTCTCTATTTTTGACCTCACACAAATGCCAAGTATTCTCACTCCCAAGCCTTTTCTGTAGTCTTTGACAGGTATCTTTACAGTTTGTTTGTTAAGAACGGATAAGCTCCGCTGCAACATATGAAAGGAAATCACATCAAATGCCATCCTGACAAGCTCAGGGAGCAGGAGAGAAGTCTGACATGTCAACAATGCCTTCATCGGAAATGTTACAACACTCCTGTTATCATATCTCCCTTAGCAACGCCCTATGGTTTGTTTAAGCTAGATAAATCTTTAAGAGCTTGACACTGAAATGTTTCAGGGGATAATATATCTGGATGCCTGTTCAACTACAAGTAAAACCTAATCCTGTTACATTTCAGAGATGGCACCTGCTCAGTCCTGCTGGTTCTGTCTGCTGGCAAGTTACGTGTGAGCAAGGTTAAGTCAGTTGGAACCACAAAGTGACAAGGCTCCCAGCTCTTCTGTTTCCCTCTCCAGACATAGAGATGCACACACATAGAACAAATCAAATGATTCAAGGCCATTTATTTATTTAGGTCCACCCAATTTCCAACAGCTCAGGGACCAGTGACAAGGAAAGGGCAAGTAGATTTACAGGATAAAAAGCCACTATAGGCCTAAGCCGACTGCCAGAAATAGTGCACATTAAATTGAGGCACTGCCCTGGCTCAGTGCTAGGGAATCATGGGAATTGTATTTTTTCTGGGACATTGAGCCTTCTCTGTGGGAGAGCTCTGGTGCCACAATAAATTACAGTTCCCATGATTCCCTAGCACTGAGCCAGGGGAATGCCTCAATTTAATGTGCACTATTTCTGGCAGTCGGCTTAGGCCCTATATTAATAGGCCATGCTCTGCAATGTATCATGAAAATTCTCCTATTGGATGCTACTTCTAGACTACTTGTGGACTACAGGAAAAGAGATTCCACCTCAACATTAGGAAAAATTTCCAAACAGTAAGACTATTCAACAGTGGAACACACTCCCTCGGAGTGTGGTGGAGTCTCTTTCTTTGCAGTTTTTAAACAGAGGCTGGATGGGCATCTGTTGGGGGTGCTTTGATTGTGTTTTTCTGTATGGCATAGGGTTAGTCCTGATGGCCTTTGAGGTCTCTTCCAACTATATGATTCTACAATTCTATGAAGTAGGGGGCCACCACCACCCCAGTTCATTTTAGGATTGCCCATTGCTGCCCAATATATTTTGTTACCTCATATACAGGGACAACTATGAAATGATATTCTCATGGATCTCCACAAGGCTTGACAACTGCTTCATCAGTTCCTCAGATTAAGTAGAATCAAAGTCTAGAGCAAGGATAGGCAACCTTTCCCCTTTAAGGGCCGAGGGACTTCAGCTCCCAGAAGCCTCAGCCATGTTGGTCAATAGTCCCATGTTGGCCAATAGCTCCTGGGATTCTGGGAGCTAAAGTCCCTCGGCCCTTAAAGGGGAAAGGTTGCCTACCCCTGGTCTAGAGATATGTCAACCAAGAGCATTGTCCATATTGATAGTTAGAGGAAACCCACTGATCAAGAACAGAAATGTATTTGCTGTGATGATCAAGCCAAAAATCAGAATATCCAACTGGTAGAGATCCAGGCAGGATAAAAATAACATGACAAATATAACAATGCAGGAAGCTGCAAGTATCTATTATCACTTCTCAGTGATGATGCTACACTTTGATACAAGAAACAGTGACCCAAAAATCTCCTGATTCGACAAGGGGTAGCCCACATTGGCTGAAACTCCACAGACCTTAGATTGCTAGCAGCATTACACTATAATCAAGAAATTTAGATAAACTGTGCAGGGGGGGATGCTACCATCCACTTCTATGAATGAGAGAATTTGGGGGGATTTAGAGGGGTACTGCATCATGACTCTTTCGACAGCAGGTGTCCTGTTGGTGGGTAATTACATTCGAAAAACTATTTATGATAACTAAATAATTGTTGCTGGAGTAATACACTTTCACTCTAATTATTCTGTTGGGTAAACTAAGAAAAATGATAAAATAAGAGTTAATAAAATGAAAAATGTATGGTCTAACAATCCAAAGCCTTTAAAAATCATTTTGTCTACTATGCCTGCCTCTGAGGCAGAGATTGGAAAGTAGCCATGCTGGCTGGAAGATTCTGGCAGGTACAGTTCGAAAGGCAACTTTTCCAAACTCCATTCTGAGGAAGATTTCAGGAGTCACAAAAACACAGAACAACACACAGTTCACCTGGGAACCGCTCCTCCCTACCCAGGGTCTCACAGTATATATACACCCATGCTTTTCCATTTCAGTTTTCTCTGAAGATGCTAGCCACAGATGCTGGTGAAACATCAGAAAGAAACTCTTCTAGAACATGGCCACACAGCCCAAAAAAAACCCCACAAAAAAACTAAAGAAGGAAAAATGAGTCATTCCCAGATTTTTCCAATTTGGCTGGAATCCCCACTGTCTGCATGGCCTGCTCCCAAGGTGAGCCAAATACCCACAAGCAGTCTGCACCACATGGTGTCAAGCCATGCTTCTCAATTTTATTTTTTGCCTCACTACACACTTGCACATCATTGCATGAACACACCACCTGCAATTGCCAATTACCTCCCTTGTCCTGCCTAGCTGCCATCCCATTGGAGGATCCATGTGACTGGCCACACAGTCACATGACCAATACACCACCAGTACAGTGCACCAGTGTGCCCAGTGACACATTGGTAAAGCACAATAATGGAGCCTTCCCCCTTTCCCCCACTTCACCCCATGCCACTCTGTTGAACTGGCCAGTTTGTGGTTTTTTTGTATTCCCTCCATTGCATTATTGGCAACCTACCATGTTTGTGTAATTTCACTTCATGGAGCGTATGAGGGCTTGCTGTGGTGATGGGATGATGGTGCATCTGGCTATTTATGTGCCTGTATGTGTGAAAAAGGAAAAACACCATATGGCAAGCAATGGTGCCTGTGGCTGCATCTCACTGGGTCCAGGAAGCAGACTCCAGACTGCTTCCATAAGCCACCTGGGCCCTTCCACAGTGCTGCACTCATGTCATGCTGTTTATGCACATTTTCCAAATTTGAGTGGAGCAATAGAGTGTTATTTTGTTCTGGTTTTTCACCCCAGAGTGTGGCTTTGTCCTGGTTCATCCCATTTCAGCCTTGTGCATTGTGTAAACAGCTGAGACTCAAGACAGGATTAAACCACTCTTCTTTTGTCCAGGAGCCAAACCTGCCTATACCTGAACATGCAAAGCAGTTATCCCAGAATAACATTGTTTCTCCTGGATCCTTGGGAAAGGGGAAAAGAGTAGTTCAAATATATGTAAGGAGGGACCAAGTATCACAAGGCATATAAGTTGCAAAAACTATGGAAATCAAACTATAAAAGGCATAAGCTG